CGGTGGAGCCGCAGCACAGCCCCCAGGACCAGAGTGCCTCTGCTGATCAGGGCCTACCCCTGCCGGTCCAAGAGGCATGACTTCCTGGTAAGGCGAGTCCCTGCACCCCATCTACCGGGTTCGCTGAGCCCAGGATGTCCCCCAGGGGAAGTGCCCCGCGGGGCTTGCAGACCCAGTCGAGGGCTCCTGGGCAGCAGGAAGCGCCGTTAGAGTTCCCCCAGCCTTGACCTTGGCTCTGACCTCCACTCCAGCCTCCCAGGCTGCTAAAAGGCTCGGTCCTTCGCCCCGAGTCTCAGGCGCCCAGGGCCAGGGCATGAGGAGCAGCCAGAGGCAGCCCTGGCCGGATCAGGCCCCCGCGGGAGGTGTCGAAGCTGCCCCGGCAAAAGCCTCCCCTCTCCACCCCGCTCCCAGCGCTCTCCCTGCCCCACCCTGCGCCTGGTGCTGCCTCGATCGATCGGGAGAAGGATGGGCCGGACCCTCCGGCTTACCTACCCAGACCCCGGCCTAGGCCCGGGATGGCTCCGTGGGGCCGAGGCTGGAGGTCCCGAGGGGGTGCTCCAGGGTTCGCCGCCCAGGCCCGGCTTCCCGGAGCGGCTGTCAGTGAATCCCTGGTGTCCGATGCCGTCTCCGCGGGTCCCAGCCTCGGCACCAAGAGGCTCCGGGAAGCGAGCGTGGAGGAGCCGGCAGCTCCCGGCTGCAATCAGCTCCCTCTAGAGGAAGTCGCTCTGCAGCCGCCGGATGCGGATGTGCGGCCTCCAGCCGGGGCGGTCTGCGCTCGCCCCTCAATCGGCAGCCCCCGCCGCGAGTGGCTCCTCCCCCCGCTGCTTTTCCCACCCCTGACCCTTGATCTTTTCTCCCTCCCATCAGTCAATACCAAAGGAAAAAATCAGGATGGTGATGTTTCTTTTGCACTTTAGCACGTGAATCCTCTCATTGAATCTTCTCAACAACGCTTGGAAGTAGTGCCATCCGTACACTCACTGTACAGATGAGCCAACTGAGGCTCAGCTGGTTGAGGGAGCTCTCCGGAAGTCACCGAGCTGCGCTATAATCGAGTCTGGAGGTGCCGGGGGAATAACAATACTAAATTGAGATTCAACGTGCAACTAGGTACCAGGCACCTCCGTGGTCTCTGGGACTAGAAACCCGAAGGGGGCAGGCAGGTGAGCAGATGAAACCACAGTGAGGGACTTCCGCTTCCGCTGGGGACAACTGGGCACCGCAGTTATGAGTCGCTTCAAGTTTGGGGATATTGGTATAAACTTGACGGAGCCTCTGCTCAGAGGGATTTGGGGGGCAGGCTCCCAAAGCACACGATGACGTACAGGGTGTCATACAGGGTGTGGAGTGGGAGTTTATGATTCCAGGTGCAAAAGATGCACCGCATTTGGCACAAACAGATGAAATGTTGTTTTTTTAAAAGGTAATGTTGGGCAGATCTCTGCTTTCTTTTCTTTTCTTTTTTTTAAAAATATATTTTATTGATTTTTTACAGAGAGGAAGGGAGAGAAAAAAAGAGTTAGAAATATCGATGAGGGAGAAACATCGATTAGCTGCCTCCTGCACACCCCCCTACTGGGGAGGTGCCCCCAACCAAGGAAAATGCCCCTTGAGGGAAATCAAACCGGGAACCTTTCAGTCTGAGGCTGAAGGCCTTATCCACTGAGCCAACCGGTTAGGGCTAAAAAGGTTTTTAAAAAAAATTGGAT